TTCAAAGTTCGAGTTCCGCTAGTTACATATGTCGTCACTACTTCAGGGCAAAAGGTTAAATTTACATATTACTATGCTAATTTACAATACTAAACTATACAATAAAAAAACATCTTTATACCGTAAAATATTCGTTTGAATTTATGCAAAATGTTAATATTTATGGCAGAGATTATGGCTTCATTCATATTATTAACATTCTAAAGGCCTACTTATTTTCGATAAACAAATTCGTTTGGATTAAGCCATTACTTGGATATACACGAATAAATATGTACAGTAACTTTAGGTGTTTTTAATACATTTTTACAAACGTTGAGGGAAAGTTACAAGTTTCAAGATGTAAGGAAAGGAAGTTTAAGTTATCTAATCGAATACCTAATTTAAGCATTTAATACTACAATGAATCTATATAGATCTTATTTATCAAACACATATTTAAAAAAAAATACATAAAATATGTAGTTTTAAGTGTATAAAATATTGGAGTTTAAAGGAACCCGCTCTAACAAGAAAATATGTAGAACACCTCTAAAGTACGTGAAGACTGTAAAATGAAATATGGCGATAAAAGGAGTGGCGGCGAGTTTCTTGCCAGTTCTTCTCGTTCTTTCTACGCTCTTGATTTGAGAACTAGTAGTAAATGTAAATTTTAGTCTTGTTTTTAACTGGTGTCACGTTCAAGAGTACATCTATGTGTACTGAATAAATATTTTTTTGACTTTGACTTTGACTATAAATAACACAAAGTTAACAGTTTAACTAAATTTAACAGTTGCCCGGTGCAGGCTTAGTTCTCAGCGTAAACTGACCTAAAATACTCTCAGCATTTAGTTCAATTGGCGATTATTACCCTATTACCTGTTTATTTTTAACGACCACCGCTGTTGGTCATCGGTAATATAATATTATGTATATGAATAAAATATATGAGATACATGTTTTTAACTATGTTCCTTTAACGGGATAATATGTCTGTTCCCTGGATAAAACTGACTTCACATTTTTTAAATTCATAGTGTATAATTGTGCGTGCGTGTAATATTAATAACTAAACTTGTGTATTAATTTATTTATAAACGGTTTAATTTAGCTTGACCCGTACGGAATTTATTTATTTAGCTCAAAATTATTGAAATTTTAAATTAAGCACCTTCCCGTTGTCAGATAGATCTGAAATTTGATGCACACATTTAAAACATTATAAATAATGACATTACAATTAAATAAAATCAATAACATTATAAATCCAAGATGGCCGCCGATACAAAATGGCGGATTACATATTTTTCATTACCCTTAATATGGGTATCATATGAAAGGGCTGAACTAGTAAAACACGATGATTCTGTCAAAATCTGATATTTATTTGTGGTTTTCAGTGCAAAAAGAGTAAAACCTAAAGTAAAAACGTTGAATTTTTTAAGTTGATACTTCTTATTATTGGATATATGTATTGCAATTTAATCGCGAACAAAATACGACCTTTCCAAAATGACACTCACCATACTAAGTTTTTCAAAGTGTCGTAGTATTTGTGTCAGACACCTCATTTCCATACATTAATATTGAGCGGAGACAACTCGACACTCCGATATCCTTACTTTATAGCTCTACGCGTTATTTATAGCGTTTCTACGAAGAAATCAGGTAGCGGTATTGTTTATTGCTTCCATAGTATGTTAAATGATAGTGTTGAAATTAAGATGTATTGAGTAACGCCCGCGACTTCGTTTTCGACATCCACACATCCACCGCGTTATCCAGAGCTTTGAACACTAGAGAGAAAAATGAGAGAGAGAGAAATAAATTTATTTATTACTACTATAAGGCACACGACAATAAACAACCACAAGTTACGTTCCCGATCCAGGTTTCGAACCCATGATATGTAGTCAAGAGCACTGACCACTAGACAAACAAGACGGCTAAATCCCTTTAATTATACCGCTATACCACTGCATGCACTGAGAGTAGTGCTTTATGACTGGGCATGCTGTGTAGTTATACATTTTTAAGGTAACTTGCAGGCAGAATTACTAAATACTCCATTTAATTAAATCTAGCATTAGTAAGAGATTTAGTGACACTTTCATTTACTACTTTCTCCCAAAACGAGTCGCCTTCTCTCCCCCCTTAAAAAAAAAAAAAAAAAAAAAAAAAGCGGGCGCCCCCCCAAAAAAGGGGGGGGGGGGAGGGAAAAAAAAAACCAAAAAAAAAAAAAAAAAACCCACCCACAAAAAAATACCTATTGTTTTGGGGGTGAGAAGTAATTATAAAAAAAAAACAATATAATTTAAAACAAAAAAATATTTTTAAAATTTTAAAAAAGGTTTTTAACTTCGACCCGACGTTTCGCCCCCCCCACATCAAGTAAGTTTCCTCCTTTTCCCTTTTCCGCTTTTTTTTTTTTTTTTTTATAATAAAAAAAAAAAAAAAAAAAAAAAAAAAAAAAAAAAAAATAAATATTTTTTTTTTTTTACGTGTGTTTAATATTTTTTAAAAAAATTAAAAAAATATTTAAAAAAATAAATTTAAAATAAAAATTTAAAAAAATTTTTAATTTTTCTCCCGGCGTCCGGATGTTTTGCAGCAGCCGTGGTCACGTGGTCACGAAACGTCGGGCCGAAGTTAAAAATCATTTTCAAATTGGTTTATCTAATATATCGCGTTTAAGCCGTTAAAGTGTTTTATTTAAGTCTACACAGCTTTTTCAACTGTCGACGGTGGTTTGTGACCCGGACGGAATTTTTATATTCCTACCACCCATTTAATATCGAAATTTAGAGACGATTGTGATATGGCTGTGGTATTTCAGCTACCATCAAGTGACGTCCATGCCTGTCTATCCTTCTCTATCATAAAAGGAATGTAAAAAACTTATATTTAAAATTAACTTGCAAGGAACAAGTCGCGCATACCGCTAAGAAATGAATTATAATGCGTGTCACTTTAATACCTGATTAACTATAATATAGTTAACTCGCATTAAATAAAAAAACGATAATTCAACAAAACGAAAATATTTAAATGACGGATACTCAATCAATACCAGCCTCGCGCAGCTGGACATCACGGCTTTCCAAATGTTTACGATATTTTTTCCGTAATTTATTACATTTTTCTATTGCTAGAGATTTCCAATTTATCATTCCTCGGATTAACATTCGTAATTTATTATTATTGTTTCACTTTTGTCGTATACAAAGTAACTGGAGATATAGCGCTTTCGTAGTTTATCAAAAACAAATGTTTAGGATAATAGTTTTACAACTAGCACAAAAAACAAAAAACAATCTTACAAACATATAAACAAAAGACGGCCTTATCTAACGATAGCGAGCAGCGATCTCTTCCAGGCAACCTAAAGTACAGGTTAGAATTTAAAAAATGCTTCTTAAGTGGTAAGTTGTAAGTAACAAACAAAAATCAAAGGTACATAAAGTGAGATATTAAGTGTCGGAACGGCTATGTGGCTGAAGTGTTTAATCTACCATAAAGAAAACCCCATGCTTCTCTGTCATCATAAAAAATGGTCAACTAATATCCAACACTTAGGTAGCTGTGATCATAATACAACTAAGAAAGCGACAGCGCTGGTGGCTGATGGGCGTCCCTAAACGAGAAGTTCTCTAAAAGTAAGAATAGCAGATATCCTTCTTACCAGTGGGACAATTGTAAGGCTGCCCATTGTTCCTTGTCAAAATTCTTCATTTATACTAATATTATGGAGCAGAAGAGTTTTTTTTATTAGATTCTGAATTTAGAATTTAAGGAACTACTTGTCCTAATTTTAAAATCAAGGAAGGCGTTAGGCTATAAATTATCACGCTGCGACAAATATAAATAAAGAAACAAAAAATGATTCCACTTTAAATGATCAAAATAATATACGCGACAGTACATGTCTGTGTTTTAAGATTAACATGCAATAACGATGGGACACAACCGACACCTCATGGGTAACAGCTATAGGTAATAAAGATGAGGAGGTTTGCAAAAACCATTTTTTACCCCCATTATTACACGCGGACAAAGTCGCTGGCGCAGCTAGTCTGGACCTAGTTTGAACCATTAATGTTTTCACTAGCATTCTATTGAGGATAAATCAGATTAGCTACGGTGGAACCTAATTTAAATCGAGCCTACTCATAAAGTTTACGATACTCGTCGTTAAAAGCTTCTTTAATCATATCGTGACTTCTAGATTTATGACCCAATGATAGTGCTACTTGAACTACTAAAGAAACTAATATATGATACTAATATATAAATGAAAGTAATCTAATTACTGCCTAATTGGGTTACTGGTTAAGTCATTCACACATCACAGGATATCGGGTTCTCATCCTGGGTTAGGGAAAAATATTTTTGCAATTTTTTTAAGACATCTAAGACTGTTGTCTAAGACTCACTTTTGGGTCGCTACACCATTGGACTAAATAATTAGCTTTGGCAACCCCAGTGCTAGGCACACTATCTGTCGTTCCAGATACTTAAGTATGTTAGTAGTTAAAGTCCACTAACCCACACTGGAGCCGCATGGTGGGTTCACGCTCTTAAAATTAAATCTTTAGAGATTGAAACGAAAGAAATGAAAACACTTGTATTTACGGTTTGTCTACGTATAAACCAAAATTTTAAAGTGTAACATTTATTTATTTATTTATTACAGCTTTATTATTTATAATATATACCACATAAACAACAAGAGATAGAAAACTTACGTACTAACTTATAAATAAAAGGCGGCCTTATTGCTAAGCAGCGATCTCTTCCAGGCAACTTGAAGTACAGGAGAAAAGAAATAAAAAAGGCTTATTAAGTGGGAAGGTGTAAGAGATAACGTTATGTAATTTATGAAAATCGTCTGAAGTCTGAATGTTTCGATCATATTTGGAAGCACTGTAAGAAAATCAATAGAAAGACTAAATATACTCTGCTTATACGAAAAATTATAAAAAGTTGTTGATGATAAAGCCACGTTTCTACTAGGCAACATGTTGAACAACAAGTTGCCTAGCACGTTGAAAGTCAGCACGGAACTTTCGTTGAACAACGCTGTCTGTCCACTATACCGTTGTCGTCGCCAATATGTCGTCAGAGAAACTTGTGCTAACAGCGGAATTGGATATAATTTTATCGAAATATTCATTAAAAGAGCAAAACAAGTTGATGGTCTAGACAATACCTACGAAATAAAGAAAACAAACAACAAGCCTCACATGTTGAGCGACTCGTGTCGCGCGCCAACTGTTGCTTAGTGAAAACCCGGCTTAATGTAGTTACACAGACTAATGACAGCTATATCATTACTATTATTAACAATTTTAAATTTTTAGACATTACGCAAGTTTACGTCAACTATTTTAACGCCACAAAAAGTTTTCCTTTGAAAGCAGTTATTGAATCAAAATATAGATCATACCGAACCTGTATAACTTGAAACACTGGTCTCATTTACTATGGCTCTTAAGTCCTTTTAATTATAGATACTTTCGAGGTATAATTTGAAAATGGTTTATGACACTGAAATTAATGAAAAAGGTGTAATAAAATATGGCATTTATTAACGGCCTATTAATAATCATGTCTATAATATTCTTATAACTTTATGGGTTAATTAACGGATAACGACGTTTTAACAAGACATGGAAATGTGCCAAGTGCGAACGAGAACTCACTAAAATAAGTTGTTGGTTTGAACGACCTTTTTATATAGAGGAGGTTGAATTCATTTGATGGAAGGTAAAATAGCCATTTAGATGTCTTAGCCTTTTCTTTTGGCCTCGGATATTCGAAAATCCAATGACTGAAACCCAAACACGATTAGCCAATTGATCTACTTTGCGATCGTCGATTTTTTTTAAACCATCGATATCTGCACATGCACTTCTCGCGCAATTTGCACCCTAGCTTCAGTAGAAACCGGTTCGAGTCCTGCCCGTGTCGTTAATTTTTTTTTTCAATCTAAATTGGTTTTTAATTATTAAACTGTGTTTTATAACCGGACGATTTTTTTTTACTCTCGGAAACGGAAAATTCTTTTAAGTTACAAAAAACCTCAAACAAAGACACTTGTTACAGAAGAATCTGACTTTTTTGAAGTTCAGCTGTGAACGGTTGAACGGTTGAACGGATCCAATTTAGTCTCGGTTAAAAATTGATTGAGTTTTAACTATTTTATGGTGATTGGTGTGATCTTGTTTCCGGTACCGTTGCAACACTTTTAACGGCTTAAAACACAAAATGTATTAGTTAAGTTATTTACAATTGATATTAACTACGTCCTGACTTTTCGAATGCATTGCAGCACGAGTGTCACTCTGTAAATAAGTAAAATAATACATTTCGCGTATTAAACCGTTAAAGATGTTTTATGTAACAATTTACTTAATTGCGTAAACTACTTTTTTACTTGTGAACAGTGGTTCGTGTCCCGAACGGAACTACACACGTAATATCCTGATTTCCAAATGAAATGACGGATTTGAAAAATGATGGACCCGGTGCAAAATCGAAGCCACGACTCGTTCAATATTAGGGATAAGTTAGTACCATTAAACCCAAAAGACTGTCTAATTTTTGATTTCTCTTAGTTTCCCTGTTTAAATTGAAAATATTCTCCACGATTTACCAGTCACCAATTAAAATAATTTTAAAAAGATTCAAATAAACTCTTATTTATTTTGTTTTTATATTTATTTTTATTACAGTAACAATGTGTAATTTGTCAGAAATTCTTCATTCTTGAGTTCAGTCTGTTTTCACTTTTAGGGTTCCGTTCCACTTTGGTTACGGAACCCCAAAGAATAACATTTATATCCACATTGAGTTGTAATCATGGATTTTCTTACATCTCTTAAAACAATCAACATACAAGTACACGCATGTCATGTAACTAAACGTGAAATAAATAACAAAGCGGTCAAACATATAAACATATTCCCACGTAACATAGGCACAGAATATATAAGTTCAGTTGGGATTGCACCTGAACTGCATTTTAATTACCTACTTAGTTACTTAACACTTCTTACGGTTGTTCTACAGAACGCAAGATATATATACTTTAGAACAAAAATTTATTTTTTTATCTACGGTCCCATTTTTGGATGCTTTTCAGCTGCTTTAGAAACTGAAGTAGTTTTCATATTACAATGCGACTTCTGAAAAATAAAACATCTATTAAATTATTATAACGATATTATAAATGTCAATCATAAATATTGTAAAGAAAAATTTTATAATGACCTACTGTTCGAAATACTCTGTGTAAAGTTGGATGTGACCCGCATGTTGGACAACGGGTCTGGTTCAAAGCGCCGAGGCTTTTATGTCCGTTTATTGCGGTTATTTAACTTTTAAACGAATTAAGCATCTTGAAGTGCGGTCTTCATTATATTGAAAGGTCACCTTGTGTAACAATAAAAGGAACATACAAAAAGGCCTTAGTAATTGTCATATAAAATATTTAAATGTTAAGTATGTATAGTAGTATATGCGTGTAGTACACATTTAAGTAAATTATATTGTGGTTAAATATATGTATTTTCCGTTCAGGTGTTTTAAATGTTAAGTGTCTATTCTAATTTATAAAGCTGAAGAGTTGTTTGTTTGAACGCGATAATCTCAGGAATTACGGTTCGAATTGTAAAATTATTTTTATGTTGGTTAGAGCATCGACATCTCGTGTGACTAATAGAAGCGAAGATGCAGCGGAAAATTTGAAATTTAAGATGCCTTAGATTCTTCTTTAAATTATCTAAAAAAGTGTCAACGTTAAGTCTATTTTAAATAACTTGATTGAAAGGAAGGAAGGTCGATTGTGGCTAACAGTTTAAGTTTATAAAATACGGCGTTTGCAAAAATATAAGATGCCCAAAATAACGATTCTCGCGGTCCGAAAGTCGCTGGCACAGCTAGTTTTATATATGTAGGTGAAATCACCTTTCTCCCGCTGGGTATGGGGCAAACACGTTTCGTGTCGTTTCGTTGCGTCACTATAATCTATGAACGCTATCAAAAGTAGAAATCCTTAGTGGAATTTAAGCTATAATGTTAGTTAAACTCAAATCAGACTGCGTCTCGTTCAACCGAATAATTTAGAGTATCTCATCATTCACCTTTTTTATATAAATAAAACTAATTTAGGACTATTTCGTTTTTATATTGTAACTAATTAAAACGTGTCCTATTAAAAATGTTTGTATACAATTATAGATGTGTCACTTTTTCTAAACTTACAAATTTCGTGATTTAAACCGTTAAAACTAAAATAAAACACTTGTTTGAATGTGTATAGTACTTTATAACTATATAGAATTTTAATAACCCACGCGACCATCCTCATTGTAAAGTAATTGAATGAAGAGAACAAGTAATAAATCACTGTTGGATAGAATACAAGTTAGATCCATCATAGGAATGCATCGTCATCATGCGCAGCTTTTGAGTTATTAATGACGAAATCAGTTATGAAGTTCAATTATAAAGCTTCGTTATCCGTAGAATGAATCAAGTTGATATTGACAAGAATCAAATGAACATGTAATCAGACATCTGTGTTTTTGTGTGCCCTATTTAAGTATTATTAACGGTTAAAAACTCGTAATATATATTATTAAATACGTGGTTTATTTAATTTATATCGACGGCTTTAGATGATCTATACTATAATATATAATAGTAAGCTGAAGAGTTTGTTTGAACGCTTTAACTTATAAAACGATTCGACTGCGACAAAAAAGAGCGAAGAAATAAGGGGAGAAGGAAGGAGGGAAAAATCAACTTTGTGGAGTGCCGTTGCGTGCGCTGCGAAAACGATTCGAGCAAAAAAATATTTGTATGAAAGAATTATTTTTCTTTGAACGATCTAAAAAGTATATTATGTCTATATTTAAAGAAAGAATAACCTTTACGTAGCCCACCGGAACAGATTAAATGTGTCGAGCGGCGCATAGTTTTCGTCATATAAGCGTGGGAGGCGAAAAAAATTTTAAAATAAATACTTTTTAAAAAATGAATTTTAAACAACCCCTGTAAATTTATTTTAATTCAATATTATATAAAAAATAAAATGATCAATTAACTAAAACTTACTCGTTATTTCAGACCAGTGTGCCGCAACTGCGTGGTGTCACCAACTGGATCATCGCCCCCGCCGCTGCAGGAACAGTCGCCGCCACCACCAGCGCCTTCGTCGCCGCATCGGCTACCATCACCACAGCCACATCTATCACCTCAGCCAAGCCATAGCGGCTCATCTATACCCAGCACGTCGAATTCACCCCACCCCTACTCTTACCCGAACAGGAGAAGCCATTATCAAGATTATCCAGGTATGTAGTTATATGTATATAGGGTTATTTCTTGAAGGATTTATTCCTTATGCAAAGTTTTGCTTCTAAGATTACTTTAATATCTAGGTCGTTTTAAATAACCCGGCAAATTTCGTTGGGGTCAAATTTATATTGATAGAGATACTATTGTGTCCTCAATTAGGTGTGTTGTTTGAAAATCAGTATGTTAATGTAAAAACCGTTTGTTTATTTAATATAACTAATATTTTTTCTAAATTAAATGTTTAAACATTAAAAAAGGACACGGGCGGGGTTTGAACCGTTCCGTGCTTTTGCCATCAATGACTAAAGGCGTTAAGGTTGAAATTACATCGCCATAGGTGCATATTCAATGAGTTGAAGAATTTTTACGATGACGTGTAGGACACGGTATCTTCCTTGTATGTATATTCAATCTCAGTAGATTTTTAATTTATATAATGCCATCATTCTTTAATGATATAGGAGGACACACAAGTAGTTCGTGACCCGGACAGAATTTCGTTTCCTAGCACCTATTTAAAACCCAGAATTCCAAATTCCAACATCTTTTGGAAAATTTATAAATTGATTAGAAAAATGTTAGATCCGGTGGGGATCGAACCCGTTGATTATTAGCCGTACTTTGCTACCATTACACCAACGACATCGTCAAAAATCATGTACGAAATATTAATTATCTTTCAGGTCAAAGTTACCAATCACCACAAAGCCCACAATCGGCGATGTCTCTATCGCCACATCCCGCACCCGTTCAGGGCAAGTTCCGAGGCTTGTTGGAGCATGCAGAACGATTGATGAAACCGGGAGACCCCCACCGGCATTCCCAGAGCGACGATGACTCAGGCTGTGCGCTGGAAGAGTATACCTGGGTACCACCCGGATTGAGGCCTGAACAAGTACGTTTTTTTTACTCAATTATTACATTCAAATAAAACTCTTTTAACGGTTTAAAACGTGAATATTAGATTGTGATGTTTAAAATATATTTAGATTTAACAAAAGTTTGACATGCTCTGTCTTGAATTCTTTTAAACCGAAATATACCATTAAATAAAATACAGCTACCATATGAAAACAATATAGTTACGTGTGTATATAAGTTGTGTATACCTATATGATCCATAAACACACAACAAACAAACAAACTCTTCAGCTTTATATATTTGGATGCCTAAAATAACTATTCTACGCGGACGAAGTCGCTGCTAGTGTATTTATATTTCAAGTTTTAAACCGTTAACATTGTATTATTAAAACATTTCTACTCGTGTAAACTATAGGCGATGTTTAACTTAAGTCGTTATTTATCGACAATAAACCTTACAATACTAATATTAACGATATATAAAAAAATATAAATTCGAAGTAATAGTATTAGTTTTTTAGTTTCATGAAATTATAATTTCCAAAACGGTTAACCTTCATTTACGCCTTCGTTCATATCTGCCAATTCTCGACAAGCTAAATAAATGTTATATTTACCCATCTTCCTCGTGCCATCTAAATCCACTGAGGGTGTCTTGGGACATTTTAATTTTTTGCTCCGTTGCCCTCTGCCGCACTCTTTATTACTTTATTTTACTCATTATAAATACCAACTTCCGTATTTCAGACGTTGAATCTTAAACGAATTGTCGAGATGGGAGTTAACTTTTATTCCCGCCCGCTTTTAAAAGAATTTTAGGACATTGTTAGAAGTTAGTTGATAATTGTTTTTATTATTTACAACTCAACATATTATACTAGTGTTCTTTGCCGATACAGACAAGCATGAAATTAAGTTATTGGGGAATAAATACCCATGTTTGCCATATAACATTTCAAGATGCGCTATCGACTTATTGTTGAAAACTGAATCCGAAACAAGATTCGACTTCGTGGCTTTTTTATCGTGCCTCGAACGGCATTTCCGATATTCCTATCACCCGTTGTATATCCAGATTTCTAGACCAAGTTCAACATGTTATGGAAAAAATTATAAACTTGTTAGTAACACAACGGACCCGATGGGGGTCGAATCCACGATACATTTATCAAAATTGCCCATCAAAAACCATCCAAGATGTTTTTTTTCGTTTCCTTCACTGTATATGTGGGTTACATTTAAATTAAACATTTTTAATAGTTTAAAACCTGAAAATATAACTAACTTTTCTTACTTATTAGTTTTTACTTTTTAGTGTTCAAATTACACAGTGACTATGTCTGTACAAACGCCTCTTTGCATCCTCAATGCTCACAAGCAGACATTGGGAATGCTATAAGGCTGTGGTTTCCTATGAAAGCGATAGATAGTATACTGTAAGCTATCTATAATAACGCGTTACTAGTTATTTGTGTGATATACTTTTTATATTGAACACTTATAACGAGAAGCAAATTTGTTAATGTGTTTTTTAATTTGTTAATTTATTTTTGCTTCTTACTACAAAAAATGGCATACCGGTAAACTAGAGGACCTAGACGTTTCGAATGCTTTGCAGCAGCCGTGGTCACGTGGTGACTAAACGTGGGGGGTGTCCAAGTTGGTATTTGGCAAAAATGGCCAAACACCACCTTTCAACAGATGGCACTAGCTTAGCAGTTTTTACTTTGACGTCAGAGACACCCTCCATCTTTAGTCACCCCGTGACTATGGCTGCTGCAAAGTATCTGAAACATAGGGTTAAAATAATTTTCAAATAAGTTTAACTTATATATATATCGCGTTTTAAACCGATAAAGTGTTTTATTTAAATGTGTACTACATGCATAAACTATAAACAGTATTTCTCTTTGACAATTTATATATAGTATGTGCCAAACGTGAATATAAGACGACAACCTAACAAAACTCAGGAAGAATCCCGGCATTTCAGCACGTCTTCATCAACGAGAAAGCAAACAATAGCTCACAATACAAAGGAACAGTTGCAACACAAGACACAACCGTAGTTCCGACGTTATTCTCAACTTTATCGTGTTTTTGCTAAAATAAACCCTAAACTCTGATGTTAAGGGTTAATTTTAAGTGTAAAAAAAACTGTAACGTGATTCCTTATTACAAGACAGTAAACGGGAATAAATGAAAACCTTACAACCATATTGCTAACTCGCGACAAAATTCTCGCCACAATCTATTAAAACTAGCTGCGTCAGCGACTTCGTCCGCAAACATCGTTTTTTCGTTCGTTTGCAAACATTCTCTTTATCTTTTAAACTGAAGATGTCACCCACGTCGTCGGTCGCGTCCCGTCGTTCCTGTAGGTTAATATAAGATAGACATACAATGTCGCGGACGTTGTTTCAGATAATTTAAAGATAAATCCCTCTTTCATATATATTTTCGAATATCTTGAACCGTTTTCGTAGCGTACGCCTCGGAAAGTTACAAAGATGAATAAGTTCCCCCGTTGTTTCCGCATTTCTCGCTGCTTCTTCGCTTCTGTTTGCTACAGCGCGATGTTTTATAGCCTTAAACATTCCTCAATAAATCCTCTAACACAAAATAATTTCTCAATTCAAACCAATAGTTCCTGAGATTAGCGCGTTCAAACATATAAATAAACAAACAAACTCTTCAGCTTTATATATATTTAACGGTTTATAAACCGTGTTTTATTTATGTGTTTTTTGTATAGTTGGTGTTGCTACGGTATTGTCTTAAACACGTAATCAACATAATTTCACCCCAATCTAATAAAGCTATATCCTGATGAAGGAAGTCGGCTTAAGGTTCCCATTAATATTGCGACCGGCTAATGAAAATGCAACGTGATTGGACTTCTAAGAGACTAAACAATTTCATTCTATGAAAGTATTAGGGTGGATTCAGTTGACGGAAATAAGATCTTATTTAAAACTAGCGACCCGTCCTGGTTTCGCTCGGGTGCAATGAAATACACTGTAGAAAGAATGGACGTTGCATATTTCTCTTCAAAAAACCGCATCAGAATCAGTTGAGTATTTTTAAAGATTTAAGCGTACAGAGGGACAGAAAAAGAAATTTGTTTTATACTATGTAATGAAGAAAAAGAAAAGTTAAAGAATAATTCGGGTTTCAAATCGTCAAAAGTGTTTTGTTTAAATCGGAAATCCACAGAAATTGAAACGAGATTAAATACGGCTTTTTCATCTGTGGACGGCGGTTCGTGACCCGGACGGAATTGCAATATCCCTATCTAATAGCCAGATGTCCAGACAAAGTCCAACATGGTTTAGGTAAATAACCCATGTCGATTATTAGCCATACATTAGCCTGTAAAAATTGAGCCGTCTGATTTCTGATACAAAATGTAACTTTCCATTAAATAAACTACTAGTCTCTCATAAAAAAATAAAATAAAAAACACATTGTCAGAATTTAATTGTACAAAATATATTATTTCCGGCACGACACCCTAAATACAAGCAAACCTTGTGTATTAGCTATATATCATAAAGAATTAAGTACAATATACACGGTTACCGCCCTGGGATCGAACCCTATAAATCACGAGATAAGATAAGGAAGTATTAATAGCTTGCCCTACAGAAATTACGGGCACAACAAAACATCAAATAAAACTTTTCTAACGGTTCAAAACGGGATAAATATTCATAAATTTATCTACTTTTTAAATAAGTTATGTTTTTTCTTAGATAAAAGCTATATTATTATAATAAAACACTTTCAACGGTTTTAAATGCGAAATGTGTTAGTTAACCTTTTTTATAAAATATTTTTTATAACAGAGCAACATTTCGGATGCTTTGCAGCTGTCGTGGTCACAGGGAGGAAAAGTTAACTAATACATTTCGCGTTTTGATCCGTTAAAGTGGTCCGTTTAATATGCGTTACTCCCATACCCTACTACTTACTACTGACAAAACTTCACTTACTGTTCTTATATCTATAAGACTTTACATAGAGTTGATAAAACATAGGTATATTATTTAATAAAATGCTTTTAACGGTTTATAACGTGAAATGTATTATTTAAATTATTTACATTTAAACATTTAAATTTTTATTAACGGCCCAACATCCCGGATGCTTTGCAACAGTCATCAGAGGGACGTTACCTAATACATTTCGCGTTTTAATCCGTTAAAAATGTTTAATTTAATCTTTATTTTTCAGGTAAATTATTTTATTTAGTGAGTCTCATGTAAAATTTTCTATATAGAACTGTCAAGAAATTTGAGTTACATTTAATTTTAAAACCATATTTAACAGTTTCAGTTTGGATTTTCAGGTGCATCTATATTTTTCGGCGCTTCCTGAAGACAAAGTGCCTTATGTGAACAGTGTTGGCGAGAGATATCGGCTGAAACAATTGTTACAGCAACTCCCACCACAAGACAATGAGGTAAGTGGCGAAAATCTACTGTACCTACATCTTTGTTCTGTTAAGTCACAGATCCCGTTCTACTTACGGGACAAGGGTGAACACACTGTTCTGTTTCACTGACCGTTCGTAACAGCAGGTCTTTGTTGATCCCTGGGACTGTCTCTGTGCTTACCCATGGATTCGAGGCCATTTGGCTACATAGGCGAAAATTTACCGCAATATTACGGTATTATAAAAATCAAAGTGTTCCGTGCTGCTCTAACCAAATGTGCTACCGTGGCACACACGTCATCGTCGATTTTTTTCAACCAATTGATATATATTTTTATATACAACTCTCGCGCAATGTATTTTTACATATTAAAGCTCAATGTATTTAGCTTTGCAGCTTAAGAAATCATTAAAGTTGAAATTACTAAGTTTAACGTTTATAGTTTATCTTTCATATGGTTTTACGAAAGTGATGATCAGTGGGTGGGACATTATTCCCAAACTTGATGGTAGGACTCCTTTTTCAGACGCAACTGTACTATTTAATTTTAACTGTAATTTAGTCGTAAAACATTATATATATAATTATAAACATTATAATTCTAAAGTATGTTTGTAATATTAGAATGTATATTGTTGTAAATTTATGTTGTTTTCTGAATAAACGTATTTCTATTCTATTCTATTCTATGATAGACCTATCTTAGCTATTCGGAAATACACAGCTTTTTTTTATCTGTGGACGTTGGTTCGTGACACAGATAAAATTTTTATAATCCTATTACCTATTTAATATCCAGATTTAGAGACGAAGTCCAAGAATTTTCAAATAAATATGCTTTGGAATAAAACATGTAGACCCGGTGGTGATCGAATCCAAGACCCGTTGAAAATTAGCTATACATTGCGCGATAATAATTAGATCCCCCCCCCCCCCCCAAAAATTCTTTTTCCAGTGTAATAGTTCGTAAAATAATATGAAACATCTTTAACGAACGGAATCGCGAAATATATTTATCCGTGACGTTTGCTACTATAAATCATTGGAAACAAGGGGTTAAAAATAATTTGAGTTTAAAGTGCATTTAAAACCGTTTAAAATGTTTTATTTAAATATATGAAACTGGTTTTCAGGTGAGATACTGCCACGCGTTGTCTGATGAAGAGCGCAAAGAGTTGAGGCTGTTCAGCGCTCAGCGAAAGAGGGAGGCACTGGGACGAGGCCAGGCGAGGCAGCTGCATGCACCAGCAACCTGCGAAAGGGTAAGTTGCGCATGATTTGATGAACCATCGATAAATAGATCAGCACATTTCAGATCGACCAAAAATAAGGGACACTTTATTACAAAGTACTATACAGTGCCCGCGACTTCATCTGCGTAGAATAGTTATTTCGGGCCTCAAAATTTTCTTTTGCAAACCTCCTCATGTTTATAAACTATAGCAGTTACCCACGATGCCGTCCGCTTCCTTTCCTTCTTGCAAGTTAATCTAAATAGACACAATACTGTTGTGGACATTTTTTTAGATCATTTAAAGAGGTATCCACAAGGATGCATTATTTCCCTGTTTTCTTCTAATACTTTATAGTCTAAAGCCTTCCTTAATAAACGATCTAACGAACACGAAAATGAACTTTCAATTAAACATACAAACTTCTCAATTTTTTATTCTAGTACAGATAGTATGTAAAATGTAAACTACTCGATTTTTGGTACAGTATCGTGATAGTACCTATTGTGTTAGCTTAGAAGAAAATATGCAAACTCCGAAGCTTAATTTCTGTCACTGTAAGAACTCAAACCAAGAGGGTTTTTAATCTTCAAAATTCAAAATCTCTTCTCGCTTCAAAATCGTACTGAAATATTCATAACATCTTGATGGCCAATTAATTAAAACAAACGTAAAAAGACTTCCAAACTTTTATCCACTTAATTCTAAGACGCAATTAAAAAACCACCCCAATGCAATGATTTGAACTTTCCGACAATAACAATTAACTTGAAATTCCGCACCATTGCACTCCCTAACGCTTAGTGAAAATTGCAAAGGTCATTAAAATATGTCCATCCTTTTTTAATTGTCCATTTAAGACCTTAAGAAAATAGCTGTGCCAGAAATTTCGTCCGCGTAGCATAGTTATTTTGGGCGTCAAAATTTTATATAATATTATAAACCCGGGGACCTAATGATGCGAAAGTAACTCTGTCTGTCTGTCTGTCCGGCTTTAACTCCGAAACTACTGAACTGATTTAAATGTTTGATACGCAGATATTTTAGAGCCTGAGAAAGGACAAAGGCTTTTTAATGCCAAAAAGGGTTGATAGGGGCTGAAAGTTTGTATGAAAATGGTTGTGGTATTTTAAACTAAAACAATGATACTTTTTTCTTTGGCTTTCTGGGAATAGGAGTGGGAGTGGAAGTGAGAGTGAGTGTAGGAATGAGAGTGGGAGTTAGAGTAAGAGTGATGTGAGGTGAGAGTGTTGCTGCAAAGTTGCACTTAGAACATAGATTGGCTGCCTTCAATGTGCCCTTACATGAATTAATAAACAGCCTAAATAATTAAAAATTCTACCCAAGTCACTACACGCGGACGAGGTCCGGGCGCAGCTAATATATTATATTTTTGCAAACCAAGGGTCATTTTTATAAATTAGCTGTTTACCCACGACGTCGTCCGTGTCTCGCCGTTTTTGCAAATCAATTTTAAAAGAAAGACGTATACTATCGCAGACATATTTTTAGAGTTAAAGAGGAATCATTCTTTCTTTCATAGTTCTAGGGTATCTTGAACCTTTTATGCAGCGCACGTTACGCTTAAACCAAAATAATTTCCCCCATTTTATTTTTTGTGGGTAAAAGTAAAAATACACTTTTACTTATACGCCTTTATGAGATTTTCTTTTAAACTATTTTTTGTATAATGTACACAATCGGAAGGAAATAGTTTTTTAAATGATGTAATTTTTTTATATATTTTTGCGGTAAGCTTTGTCTCTGACACTGTTAAAATAAATTATATTTCATATATTTTTTTACTAACTTCACGCTGGACACTAATATTTTTATATTACGCAATGCTGTGGATGCAGGTTCAAGGCCCGTCCGTGTTGTAAAAACCCTTTTCCAATATAAATTACATAATTATTTATCTCGCGTAAATGTGTATCTCGCTAAACTATAGTAGATAAAAAGGCAAACAAAATAGAGGAAAGTTGTTTTCTACTTAAGCCATACAGCACGGCTTGGAGTGGGTAATTTTGTGGCTCGAACCGTTACTCCGTCGTGGTTCCATGTCATTAATCGCGAAGCAGCCAGGTCGCGAATCACGGTTATAATAATCTTTACAAAAGTAGCTCTCGGCTCGCTCAGATGGAAAATTGTCTCCGTTCTGTAATTACTTTCATTTCACAAGCCATTAGCCACGAGGTGAGATTCCTCCATAACCTCGTCATGAGAAATACTTGAATATTTGTATTAGCAATTGGTAGTCTACGCGAGTAGTTAAAAAAGAAAACGGTTTAAAACGCGTAATAATTTTATTGAATGTAGCACACCTTATCATTATTTTTAATCTTCATTGCTTATATTATAGCTTAACGGCCTTGAAAGTCGAAAATAATAGCATTGTATGGCTAATTATTAACGGGCCGTGGATTTGATCTCCGGGTCCAAATTGATTCTCATTTTTTTTTGAAACATCTTCTACTCCGTCTGGAATTCTGAATATTAAATGAGCGGTAGTAATATCGGAAAGTCCGTTACTAAGTATAAGACACTAAGAAATATTGCCTGCTTTGTTTTATCAACTATGGAAATCATTTAGAATATACATTTTAATAATTTTTAAAATCTCACTATTATGATAAATATAAAAGAATTTTTCATTCCTATTTTTGTAAGGAAATATAATAGTAAAATAGTATATTTTCACACCTGCAGCTGAAAATTGATGCGAAAAGTGGGAAACACTCGTAAAGCTCGTGAAATATAAGTTATAACGCCGCAAAGTTTTCCCGCGCTCGAGATAAATCAGGGAACTTCGCGCGCCATCTGTTGTCACATTTGTGATTTATTGGCCCTGATAATGAAAGCGCGTCTCCAACAGATGACGGTGAATTGTTTATTACGGCCCTTTTGACTTATTGCATTGAATTATTACAAAACGACAATACGTTACCACGCAGGCATATGTATCTATTTGTTTATTTCGAAACTTTTACACTTAATAATTTTTAAATAAAACACTTTAACGCTTTAAAACACGATATATATTAGTTATGCTTTGCAGCCGCCGTGGTCACGGGCCTCCACATACGCGGGCTGCTAAAAAGCACCCGAGTTAAAAATCATTTTCAAATAAGTTTAACTAATATATCGCGTTTTTAACCGATATGTGTACTACTTGTGTTACCTACAGACATATTTATTAAAAATTATACTTGACTTTGTAGAAAGTATTTGGGGTCAAATTGGTTGAATTATAGCTATAACCAATGACGTCATTTGTGTCCCGTCGTTCTTGCAAGTTAATCTTAAAATAAAGGTGGACATTTTTTAAATCATAATATAATGAGGAATCATTATTTTATACAAATTGATTTAGTGATATGAACCGTTTTCGCATCGCATGCAACGTTATTAATATATTTTTCCTGTTTTTTTTTCACATTTCCCACTGTATCTTGGCTCTTATTGAACCTGGTGTTCTATAGTCTAAAGTCTTCCTCGGCAAATTCTCTAACAAACACAAAAATTTACAATTCAAACCAGTAGCTGCTGAGATAAGCGCGTCAAACAAACTCTTCAGCTTTATAAAATTAGTATAGTCGATTGTTATCTTTACAATTTATCTCACTGTTGCTGTTATTATACTAGTAAAAATGAGCTCTTACTAGGCGACTCAAATAATTATAGCTTCTCTTTTATGTTAGATCACGCATAACTTCGTCTTTAATTACCAATTACTTGGCACTGACTTAATAATAAAGTAAAATTATTATTTAACTAAATATAAATTAGTGCAGGGTTTTCTAATATTTTTAATTATCTTATTCCCCCTTTATTTCGCACATTGACACTTCATATGGATGTGGGAAAGCGCCATCTAGGGACTGTTTATCAAAACAATTAGAAGACACAACGCTGAGTAACGCAACATTTTTGCCATTTGAAAACTAGATAGCGCCATAGTAATATTGAAATATATCTCTAAAATTCAACAGATGGCGCTTTTATACATGTGACATTTTTGTTGTAGACTGTAGATGTCGTTCCCAGACAAAGTATCTACATACAGAGTGGTCAATAAAGCCTACTTTATGTTCGTAATAAAATCGTTTTCAAAACCTTTCCACGAAGGTGTGAAAATAATTTTTGTTATTCGTAACTTTTTTTAATGTATAGGCCGTGAGAACGTTGCGGCAGGTAGACTTTGTTTTGTAAGATTTTGTTCTATATCTGTAGCACAGATAATTCTACGATCTTTAAAAATAATATAAGTTGGAGAGATATATTATTAATACTAGTAAGCCATAGTGTTTTGTGTGATAATTTGTGCTTCTGTTTCATAGTTGGTTTATAAGATATATAAATTTATCTTATTCTAATAGTAATTAATACTTATGGATTATTGTATACCGTGTTTCATCCTTACAACATTAGTTGATTGAGTATGTGATCTGTTTATTTTAAAAATGACACTTAACATAACAAATTAACCTTAATATTTAAATAATGAAGTATGCTCAGATACCATTATAATGTTCAAGTTAAGCCTAGCAATTTCATATTACCTGTCTATTTATGTATTAAAATGCTTCGAGCCATTGAGTAAAAGCTGTGAATAGTAAAATACCTCGGCAGCCGAAGCGGTGCGCGGACGCATCGTCCGCGGCTGTTTCTCAGAACACTAAATATAGCGTCCATTCATAATGACACATTTCATCAATGAACGGATTCCACAATGCTTACGTATAGCACTCGTCAAACTTTGAGAAATTTACTATGAACATTGATTCACTAGCTGCGCCAGCGACTTCGTCCGCGTAGAATGCTTATTTTGGGCATCGAAATTTGTTATTGCAAAAGCTGTTATCCACGACGTCGGTCGCGTCTCGTCGTTCTTGCTAAGTTAATCGTAAAAGATAGACAATATAGTGTTCATATTATGTATATATATATTTTTGATATTTTGAACTGTATTCACAGAGCACGTAACGGAATCCCTCAAGGATGAATAATTTGACATAATTTCCACTTTTCCCACTGTTCCTTCG